GGTCCCTAAACGATTTGGTGATTGCCTCAACATGGTAAACTGATGTAGCAAAATTTATTCCACACTTGAAGCATAAAAATCTTTTTGAACTTCTCAAATCAAATAAAGCAAAGGGAATTAATCATTTGAAGTTAAGTAAAAAGTGATAAATTTACTTATTTTCAGAAAAATAAAATTACCATGATGGCCTTGACTTGCAGCAATGTGCAAGGGATCAAACCCTGATCTATTTTTGGTTGTGATCCCTTCTTTGGTGGTGTAAGGTAACAACTCCTTCACCACACCAATTTGGCCCCTCTCTGCGGCGGTGAAAAGCGGCGTCTCCCCCAGCTCATTAACCTCATTCACCACGGCGGCTCTAATCTCCGCCACCTGGTCATCAAACTCAGCCCCGCTCAAAGTTCGAAGCATTTGCTCGTCGATTTCTCCCAATATCTGCTTAATCGCCGCCACGTCGCCCCTTTGCGCTGCCAGGTGCATCTCAGTGTCATTGTGACGCCCTGTCACCTGCTTCACGTACTTTTTCTTAGCGGCCTGGTCCATTCTCTTCCCGGAATTTGATACCACCAAGGCCTTACCGGAATTTGACCCGACCAAGGCCTTGCCGGAGTTGGACACCACCAATGCCTTGCCAGAATTGGATGCCATCAACATCTTGGCGGAGTTGGACGACATCAATGACTTTCCGGAATTCGACACCACCAATACCGGCGCTCGTGGCGACGGCGACGGCGATGGGGGCTCCAGTTTCAGGCCCATTTCAATATCCCTCTCATCTATTTACAAAAAAAAAACAACATATCATCATACATACATGGATCTAATTAAACGAAAATTCTACCTCCAATAAAACAGGCTGATTCTTAATACAATTTACATTAAAAACGTTTTCAAATAAATTTACCTCGGTCAATTATAGAAGCCATGGCGAGAAAAAAATCTTCCTAGCGTTCTTGTTTCTTTGTTTCTAATTATCATTACTTGGTGCGGTTAATGGTGGTGTACATAAAAATTACTATTTATAAACAATAAAGACTTCATCGGAGAGAAGACGGAGCTTGGGGCACACGGTGGAGGAACAGAGGTGGAGAAGGAGGAAAGGAAAGGGGTAGCGGAATATAATTTACGTCATCAATTTTGTAGACAATGATTACTCATGCATTTTATAGCCGTTAGGCATGTTGCCCAATGAACAAGAAATAAGAATAGAATGTTGTCAAAAATGGGGAAAAAAATTTATCCATTTTTATCTTCTTTTATTTTCTTTTAAATATTTTTTTCCTAACTTTTTGCAAAATGGAAATTGAAAAAAGAAAATAATAAAATGAATTTATAGAATGAAGAAACCTATTATATGTATGGAATTTTTGAAATATACATCTCTTTACAACAAATACTAATTATGTGGAATAGTTTTTAATATTCATTTTAAATTTCTTTAATTATTTATGACTAGATATTATAAGCTCATGTTTGGTACTAATTAAAATCTAAATTTTAATCTAAGTCAAAATCAACAATTTATTTTAACAATATATTTTATGAGATCCACAAATTTTTCAACTACACATTTAGTCAATTTTTATTAAAATTTACTAAAAATCTGATTTTAGTAGCTCAAGGGATTCTCTCCATTTTTGCAGTAAAGAACAATTGTGTGTTAGATAATATCACTGGGAAAAAAATCGATCACTTTATCTCGTAGTCAATAATAAATAAAATTAATCAAAATATATTATTATTATTATTATTATTATTATTATTATTATTATTATTATTATTATACATGGATCTTACGCCATAATATTAGAGCAAGTTTGGTCTCAATATTTTTTATTACTTTTTTTCCAAAATTCATTTTAAACAACAGATTTTATGGGCTAAATTGCTTTTTTTTTTTTTTTTTAAATTCACTCTACTAAAAGTTTGAATATTAGCCTAATCAAATGGAGGCTAAATCTCTTTTTCAAAGAATGGCCTCGATAATGTCATACACAAAAGGAGATATGGAACGTATTCTTCACTCAACGATTGGTCAAATCACCTCGAAGCCCCCAACGTAGAAAACTTTCTTCTACTAGCATGTGAAATGTGCTAGAGTAATTTTTACAAGTCTGTGTGTGTTACTATCAAATAATTTCCTACCTTAAATACAAATCAATGTTTCATTTGCACGGTAATATTGTGATCACCATGACTTTGAATAGGTTAACATCTAATTCACGAGAAGCTTTTTTTTTTTTTTGGAAGTTTACGGGCATTAATTGGGGTTTTCAATCATTTAACGTTAATTAGGTGATAATTAATCTTTGTCATAAGACGAGTACAAACATTCTATTGAGTTGGTCAAATTGATGTATAGTGAGTTGAAATAGGATTTTGCTGGATGTACAGAATCATTCCAACAGATGTTTTACAGATCTCTCACATGAATTTGGTCCCACGCGGAACCCTCCTCATTAAAAAATGACCCCAAAAATCCCTACCCAACCCATGTTTGTGTGTGTTCTGTAGGGGGTTCTACAGAACCCCTACTTGGTACCCAAGCATTGTTCATCGAAATAAGTCTCCAAAGTGAACTTCATGAAAAGTTTTAAGTGTCTTTGGTCCCACATTTGCAAATGAGCTAGAATTGGACTATGATTTGAACCCATTTCAGTCCCATTTGGTCATGCTAAAATCAATTCAAGTATAATTAATTTTTATGTCAAATACATTACTTTCCAAATCCTTTCAAATAATAATTTCATATTGTTCCCGAGTTTTCAATCCCAACAATTAGTGTTTGATATTTACGAGTTTTTAGCGTTCAAAATTATCCGAGTCAAGAAGAGTACAAGATTAGTTTGTCAGACAAATATAATATTGAGTTTATTAATTTTGTGGGAGCAATGTATTTTGAGAGACAAATCTCCAATTATTCAGTGCAGAAGCGAAATTTGTTTTAATGAAATTTACAAACCGCAAATCTCGCTTCATCTTCGTAACATTATGTTTTCCTTCTTTTCTTTGTTGATTTTCACACAACAGGCTTTACCAAATTTGTTGTTGAGCTTGTTCAGAGGCACCAAAAAAAATAAAAAAATAATATATATATATACACACGGGTTTTTTATTCGAGTTTGGTTTGAGTTATAATGAGACAGTTTTCCAAAGATACTCCATAAGACCTTACCCCTCTGTTACATTGTTTCTCTATTCTCTCTATGATAATCAAAAATTGAAATACCCCCAAAATCATGACGGTTTGTATTTCCTCTTTTTTGATTTTTTTTTCTTTCCTAAAATAACTAAAAAGGAAAATATTACTAAAAGTCGTCACTTTTCATCTGTTTCAGGAATTTTTTCATTTTTATTTCGAGTCTTTCAAGAATATAAATGCTAAATCTTAAAGCTTAACCTTTTTTTGCCATTAGAAAAAAAAAAAAATTCTTTAATTTTTTGATAATTGGCTCTGATTTCTCTCCCAAAGTTCTATCATTTTATCATTTTTGTTTCATGATAATTTAAATTTTTTTAAATTACAACTATAAAGCTATATTTTCTTAAATTACATGACTTTACATGTGCAAGTCCATGAAAATTTAGAGGTGTGAGTCATTGTAGAATTAGGTTAGGATGAAACGACCCTAGTTCACACGTGGCGCTCCCTCTATGATTGAGGGATCTTTCTCTTCTATCAAGTTGTTTCTTTCTTAAACAGAATTTCTTGTAGAGATTATTCATTTAAATCTTTCTTGATCCCCAAAGCTTTTATGCAGAAATTGATGAGTTGATATGGCAATTTTCTCTTGGAATAGATTCGCCTGAGATGTGCGCCATCAATCATTATTGAAGAATACCGATGGATTTCTAAGGGAAGAGTGCTTTGCAGCAACCCCTCTTTGGATGGTGTTGAGTTTAGGGCAGTGGCGGATCTAGGTGGTAGCAAGTTAGGGCAGCTTCATTGGAGGGAATATATTTTTTTCTTCTTCTGATAATAGATTGAATTTTTAGATTATATATTTGATAATTCATATTAACAACAACCATCTCTGGTAACTTAGCCGATTACCTTCCACTAATTTTTTTATCGGTAAATATAAACTTTCATAGATCAAAATTCATTTACAAGTTCACTGAGCATACCCGGGCAATCAAAGGCCAAGTAATCAATACATGTATACCCAGGTAGACAAACATAAAATGATGTACCAACAATGGTCTAAAAGTGCACTGCTAAAGACTCAAATTGAATTAAAACATACGGATATAAAATAAATATAGCTTTGTATACGTGCATTTTAATCCGTCTAGCAATAGAGTCAACTTGCGGCTTAAGATCTTAGAAATACTTGTATTCGTTGCCATCCAAATGTAGTACACAGTAATTGCAAGTGCTATATGTTTTGCTTTACTTTGTCAACTCTTTTCCTGGGCTTCCTTTTTCATCTACTTTAATGAGCTCAACAAAGTAGACATTTTACACCTTATAGCCAACTAACCACGAATTTGGTCCCAAACATCTTTGCTAACTAAGAATAGATGATGGGCAGTTTCCTCCATTAGTCATCAAAAAGAACGGTTTTGGTCCATTTGAAGATATTGTAATTTGTCTTTTGTTTGCAATTTGGCCCGAACAACTAATCAAAGGATGAAAGCATGATTAAGAGTGATAGATCCGTCCCAAACTGAGGTTGTCCAGACTGCTTTAGCTTCTTTTGCTTGAAGAACTCATAGGCTGCCATTGTGCTAAATCTGCCAGCTTCCGTCCAGCCAAGTAATTTGTCTATACCAGCCTGCACTTCATGTTGTGGCCCAATAATGCTGTCCCTGATTTTCGACAGCTTTTTAAGTAATGAAAAATCATCTTTCTTCACTTTATACTCCCAAATGTCCATACCTCGAAGATGAACCTGATTTATCCATTTAATTCAAAGAGTATCCTTCTTGTTATGAATGTTCCAAAGTGTTTTGGAAAGGAGTGCAACATTCCAAATTTTAATGTTTCTAAAGCTAAGTCCGTCTTCTTGCTTTGGCAAGCAAATTTGATTCCAAGCAACCAACAATTTTTTGGATCCCTATAAGAAACTCCGGCATAGACTAGTGACTTTAGAAGCCACCGTTGTGGGGATGGAAAAGATGGATAACCAAAAATATTCCATTCCCTGTAGAATGGCTCTCATAAATTTCGCTCTACCCGTATATGATAATGAAGAAGTCGACCATGCGTCAATATAAGAAGAAATTTTATTGATGAAAGAGTCATATGAACTTACTTTCAATTTTCCCGTTGTAAGTGGAATGCCCAAGTAGCGAAATGGCATGATACCCTTAGAGAGTTTAGTAAGGGCAAGGATATCTTCCAAATCTCGACCATGAATACCCACGATGTATAGATAAGATTTTCCAACATTTATATTGAGACCCGACATAGCGCCAAAATTTGATAGACAATTCATTAAGATATCAACCGACATTACATCCCCTCTAGCAAAAAGTATCAAATCATTCGCAAAAGCTAAATGTGTAATCCTTAGGTGTGCACATTTCGGATGAAAGTTAAAATCACTATTATCGGTAGCCCCCTTCACCATTCTAGAGAAGTATTCAAGGCATAGAATAAACAAATAAGGAGATAAATGGTCACATTGTCAAAGACCTTTCTTCCCTTTAGTAAAACCATGAAGGCTACCACTAAGAGCAATGGAATAAGATGAAGTTGTAACGCACTCCATAACCCAATCCACAAATGTAGTGGGGAATCCCAACCCCTCAAGCACTTTCATAAGAAAATCCCAATTCACCAAGTCATAGGCCTTCCTTAAGTCAATTTTAAGGAGACATCTAGGAACTACCCTCTAGTGGTTGTATTACCTCAAAAGCTCCTGGGCCAAGTGGATATTCTCGATCATGCTCCTACCCTCCACAAATGCAGCTTGTGCTTGTTCTATAATTGAACCAAGCATAGGCTTCAACTGAGAAGCAAGAATCTTTGTAATGACTTTACAAAAAACATTACAACAAGCAATGAGCCTATAGTCATCAACCGAAGTAGAATGATTAGTCTTCGGTACCAATGCAATGATGTTGTGGCTTTTTGTTTGAATAAAGATCTCGATGCAAAGAATTCTTCAATTGCTCCATAAAATCA